CCCAGGAAACAGATTTGGGGTTTGGCAGGTGGAAGACATCCAAGATGTAGTTAGGATAGTTACATGCTTTATTTAGTGGTGGCAACAGCCATTAGTTAGCTCCCAGCTTTAGCTTTAGCCCCAGCTTCAGCCCCCAGCCAGTTCCATTTTAGTCCCTCCCTCTGCCCATTTTCTTAGGCCCCTTTTATAATGCAGGCCAAACAAAGAAGGCACAATGCCAACAGGTTACATAAAATGTGTGTGGGGGGTTGCATGTTCACAAGTTAGTGTTTATGATCTTGACTCTATGTGCTGAATCACAGTGTTTCTGGCCTTGACTAACCATAACATAGACAGTTCTCAGCCCTGGCTACACCCTAAAAACATAGCATAGCCTGCTGGAAGTCTCACTGAGGAAGCCTAACTACAGCTATTTTGGGCCTGCCCCAACAGTGACTTTAATTTTTTAGGGTAAGTATCAAAGAGTGGTATACCTAGGTCATATGGTGATTCTATTCCTAGTATTTTGAGGAACCTCCATACTGATTTTCATACTGGTGATACTCATTTATAATCCCCTCAACAGTATAAAAGTGTGTCCTCACTACTTTGTATTCAGTGCCCAACACATAGGATATAACGTTCATGCAATGACATCTATTCAATTAATTCATGATTTCCTGATTCTAAGCTAATTGAAAAACTGAATACCTCACTCAAGGCTGAAACTTTGCCTCTCTTCTTGCTCCTAGCCCTGCCAACAAACCATGGAGACTCCCTAGTGTTTCCTAAAGAGTCCTCAGTCCTAGATATTTGTGTATTGAATTGGAGAAAACAAAAAGCATTTGACAATCAAATTTGACATTTAGTACGAGCCTAATAAATCCTAGCCTGCATGATAATTTTTTTTTTTTTTACAAAATTCTGACCAGTAAAAATAAAACAAAGGATTTCATAGGGCTGTTTTCTTAGCACATGAAATTTTGTTTTGATTGCATTCAATTAGGCAAATACTTTTGCTTTCTCTAAATCTATTCCTTGCAAAGGAAACAGGTAGTAAATATGTTGAAACTAGGGGCAAGCCAAGTTGCAAGTATTATCGTGTTAGAGAATTACAGAAACCAAATGATGAGTTATTTCCCTCAGGCTGGATTCTTCCTTGGTCAAGCACTGTTGGATCATTTTCTCAACATTACTGATGAACTTCTAAGTGTGAGCAGGTCTTTGAGCATAGATACCTGAATAAAAGGAATTGTGAGCCACATATCCAAATTCTATTTGACCCAACTGATTTCTGTCTCTTTCTTCCAGGATAGTGTCTCTTTTTATTTTTATAGTCATTATTTGAGTACCTGTTTTAATGAAGCACTAGTACTTGCACTAGTGAAAGTACTTATAAAGTGATTATATAAATTATTTCTCACCAAATAACTGTAATAATGCCTCAGTACAACCAAACTTATTTGCCATTTTCTTGCCAATCAGTACAGTCAACAATACAATACTAACGTGAAATGGGAATTTGTTACAGGATTTTATGAAGTCAGTGAAAGAGATGTTTGAGAACTGCTCAATTCATAATGTTAGTACCAATTGAAGATTTAAAAGTTCAAAAAATTAAATGCATTCCATAACATAATACTCCAAGACAAAATTTCCTGAATAATAATATGAAGAAGGACCATTAGAAAAAAAAAAAAAAAATTAAAGCCCTGGAATATTTTTGCAAACGAGACCAACTCTGTGACCATGGTGCACAAGTCTAAAGTGAAAGAGACATTGGTATTTTTTAATCAACAATTTTGTTGGAAACTAACATCAACACTTGATCCATTAAATTGAAATGAAATGCTTTTCTATTAATGTAGATGCTTCCATTACATTGTTTCAAAAAAGGTATGCAGGTTGTTGCTCTTCAACACAGCAGTCTCTCTAGCTTGTGGAACTCCAGCCTAAGATGGCGGCTAAGTATGGTCTTCTACCACCACTTCACAGAGGCGACTGTCCTCAAGTCGACCTGCAGTAAAGCGCCTGGAAGCAACCAGCTAAAGAGCCGCTCGAGAGTGCGCCCTCTACTGGAGTGGTGAAGAGACCGCCACTGGACTTTTGATTGGCAAACTCAAATTCCAGCGTCTGGTGCGAGAAATTACTCAGGACTTCAAAACAGATTTGCTCTTCTGCAGCGCAGCTATTGGTGCTCTGCAGAAGATTGAACGTGTGCTGTCCATGCCAAACGTGTAACAATTATGACAAGACATCCAACTATCATGCCGCGTATGTGAACATGCTTAAGAATTCAATATGATGGTAAACATTTCATTCTCATTTTTTCCCCTCTTCTGTTAGTTCTGAATGTCTGAATGTTAGATATTTCCCACCTCCCCTTGAGGCTACGTAAATATATTATTGCAAGTGGAAGAAAAGGAAACAGAAATCATTTTTTTTTTCATTTTCAACTGTGTGAATTTATACTAATTCACTAATGCAAGTCAGAATGTTTCAATGAACAAATTTCAGCAGTTCAACTTATACTTGTAAATAAACCTGTTAAATTTTTCTAGACAATGCTAACACTTGAACCTTTTTTTCCCCTTTTTACTCCATTGGCATTTATTTTTTTATTCTGTTATATAAGACAGCAGAATGCATTACCATATTACATATATAGAGCATATTTTTTCATATCTCTGGTTGTATACAAAGTATATTCACACCATCTGTGTCTTCATTCGTGTGCTTAGGGTAATGATGTCCATCTCATTCCACCATCTTTTCTACCCCCATGGACTTTTTTTTTTTTTTTTTTTTAAAACAAGGAAATGTCTTAACTAAATGGTGTTTGTAGCATTTTTATTACAGAATACATTCATTCACTATACACTTTTCTGACAAGTACATATTTTTAACGTTCTATATTCTGCACTGGTGCTTAGGTTTGCTATTTTAATGCATTAAACTATATTTAAAAAGTGTGCAGATGTGTCAGTTTGGATATACGTAAAAAATTTTTTTTTAGTTGTAAATGGACACACTTTTTATGTGGTGCTGAGGACTGAACCCAGTGTCTCACATGTGTGATTGCAAGTGCTTTACCACTGAGCTACAGCCCTAGCCCAGTTTGGATATCTTAATGTCAACGTTTCCCAGGGCATTCTGCAGAACATTAGTCCTTCCTTAATCATCTGTGAGGAAGATCTGATTATGGTACATGATTATTTTGTTTCCCACTTGAGTATTTTCTGCTCTGCATCCAAAAGGCTATCAGTATACACTGCTGGCTCCTTTGCCCTCTTCCTATTAGATTTGGCTAAAGGGGCAGATGCAGAAGAGAAGGGAGACCAAAACAAGACATCAAAGTGGACAGTGAAATGAGGATAGGTTTATTTCTTAGTACTGGATTGCTAGTAGTTGGTTTGTCTTCTAAGTTCACAGTATCTTTTAGGCCATCCTCTCATTTAACACTTCGCTGCAGTTCTGGTCAGTTTTCCCCTCTACCCCCTTTTAAGCTGGGAGTTGATAACGGTAACATAACTTCCCTTGTTAACTGCTCAACTACTCACTGACAGTGCATCATTTCTTTTGGGGGGGGGATGTTGATTTACACAATGGTTAAATACCATATTGTTTTCTTGAATTTAAAATTCTCATTAGAATGTTAAGGACTCTACAGAAAAAAAATTGGCATTTAAGAACATTCCTTGAAAATACTGGATTATAAAATTCCTTACTGTAAAAACAATAATTAATGTTCTTGATGACTATGGGTAATTGTTATAATTGTTTTATTGTATATAAGCCTAAGGATTTAGTCATAGAATCGACTTGTTCCAAATGGATGTGCTTTTTGAATTTTCATAATTTAGTCCTCAGTATCAGGCTGTTAAGTGTCTGCTTGCTACCCATATGCTTTTTTTCCCCTGTGCTCTGCCATTTTTTTTACCACCTCTGTTCTGATAGGTAATCAAAATTACCCAAGTTGGCTAAAATCATATCTAAAGTAAGATTAAATAAGTTCTTATGATAAAAAATTATATATTATATATAAAAAATTACATATATAATTATAGTATATAATTATGTATAGTATGTTTTAGTGCCTGAATTTCATACCCATTTTGGTGCTTGGAAATTTCATCCCCTTGTACTTGATATTTCATTTGTTATGAAGTGTTGCTGTGGATGTACTCTTAACAAATGCTGATGTAGTAGCAATTAATGCTATGTACTTCTGGCTTTCCCCTTAGTAAAGTTTCCTTTGCTGGGTGGCTGTGTGACCAGTTCTGTTCAGTCACCATGAGACATCCCAAAACCCTTTTTGCCTTCCATCTTAACCAGCACTGTTTAGATGTCCCATCAGTTTGGGCTCCTATGACAGATATGAAATTTAAAAGGGAGATAAATATTTTACATGTCAAAAATATTGTTACTGAGACTGCAGAGTTGTTACAATTTATTCTTACTTAAATTTCAAGTTTCTCTGCAAAAAGAAAGGGGGTTTGGGTGGAAAAAATTACAAGAGGGTTTATATAGTCTTTAGGAAGAAATTTTGTCTTTAATGAAAATGAGTGATTTTAATAGTTGAGTTCAAGAACTCATAAAAGCTTTTAACAATTGCTTACACAAGATAGGCACATATTCATATTAGATTGTGTGGTTCAGTGGACCGATTTGAACACAGGATTGAATTCCTGAGTTCTATATCTTATTAGCTAGTCACCTAACTGGAGGGTCATCCTTTGTCTATAAAATTGGTACAACTATTATAGAACATGTTATTGGAAGGATCTCAGATTACAAAAATTATCCAGCAGTAAGATTCTTAATAAATGGTAGTTATAACTATACCAATTAACTGGTATTATTTATCAAATTACAGAATTATGGTCAGTTTTTTCATTTCTCTCCAAATGCATGTTAACTGGCTTAGTTCATTGAAGGTTAATATAATTTTCTATTCTTTTTCTTTTAAGATTCTACTTAAGGCTGGTTATCCCAAAAGGTAATGCGGAAACATTGTGTCAGACACTTTTAAACCAGTCTTTAATTTCAATTCAGGTGTAAGAAAGCACATAAATACAAACATTAATTCAAGGAATCAAGAATGTGGGGTATAAACATGTATGGCAGATACTACTATACTTCATGTACTTTTTAAAACTTCTAAGAATTTGATTACATGTAAAAAAAAAGAAATCATTGCCACGTATATTGCTACTTCCATTTGAAGTATTCTCACCAAATTACATTTCCTGAAACTCAACAGAAAGCATTCTCTAATTTCGATCAGAATTTGGTGATCAGAATTGGCTGACACCATCTTTTATGTTCTCTGCAATACTCTTAAATACCTGGCAAACAGTAGGCTTTTTGTCAAATGAATGACACTGAAAAACAGATCCCCAGAGATTGAGATTTTGGGAACCACAGCATCATTTTGAAGGGGAATGTGATCAGCTGTGATCACATACCAGGATGGGAGGCTGTTAAGGTGTAGGAATAGGAGAGCATTGCCCTAAGTGGGCACTGAGAAAACAAATGAAGGTTGCAGAACACTGCAAAATGAACAGTGGCACCCAATTTCTAGGTTTTCCTCTCACTAAAAGGAGATTGCAGTTTCTCATTATCATTTAGCAATCACATTTCCTATAGTCAACATGGTTCCAATAGACAAGCCTAGGCAACTAGTCACTATATATATATCATCCCACTAAAGATATCCAAACCCAAGTGACCAAATTTTAGAATACCATCTGGTAAACTTCCTGCATTCAAGACCAACTCACAATTCCTTAAAATCTCATTAGACATAAGGGATTGGTTAGGATGTATTACAGGTATTCCTATAACTAGCCATATTTACAAGATACAAAATATTTGATACTGTACAGATGTTTATAAAGTGATTTTTAGCACCAAATATATACAATCAACACTGCAAATTAATTCAACTTTTCAAACTTAACAGATTTTTTTCATTAATCATGATGGCACTTTTTTCTCCCAACAAAAATGAAGTTTGATGGGGCTATGTGGTGATAACATATTATTCAGTAATAGACTACACAAAAATTATCTTTTCATCTAGAATATGCTGTATTTTTTAAAAACAGTATACAAAATAGCTCAGGTAAAATAACTTGCCCCACTCATAGATGATGTAAGATTTGAAGGAGCAGGGCCTAGAGAGGCCTGTTATTCCTTGGCTCTTGCTAATTTAAAAAATGGATATATCCATATTAAGTGTTAGACTGGCATGAAGACAAACAATTCTTGAAAACACCTTTTTACTCAAATGGAGTTGTTTGCATTTATAAAGACAAGGACATCTGTCCCTTTAAGTGTGTGAAGTATTTCAGATTACTGAAAAAAGATTTAACATTTATTAAGCGCTCATGTGCCAAATACTTGGGTTCAAGTTAATTTCCAAAATCTTTATATAAAGGTATGTATTTGCAAAAAAGAAAAACTGAATCTTGGAAGATAAGCTGCACAAAACCACTAATAATTAGAAGTGAACTTTAAATCAAGGCCTTTCTCTACTATACATGGTTTCTTCTCAGTACACAATACATAAACTGGTTCAAAATTATCTAGACCCTTAAAGAGTTTGTAATGAAAAGTGTTTAGTATTAAACAGTGTTCAGGACCTTAAAACAATTCAGAGATTACCAAAATACTGATTTCATTTACTCCTTCATTTGTTAAAAAAAAAAAATGTGGACACATGTTACAAATGGTATTAAGTGAAGTGCAATTCATTGTTTACTACAAATTTTTAACTTTAAGCAAAACAATCTCAGTGATGATAAATGCATTTCATTATTTATTTAGATGTTTAAGCTCTCGCACTAAGTTTTTACAAGCTGGTGAACACTGACAAATTATTTCTCCCACAGAACTATAACCACACATTCCCAGACAGTATAAATATATGGTTGAACTAACATTAATACACATCACCATTTTATCAATTACATAATAAAACAAAATTATCAAGTATCCAAATATTAAGTTACACAGCTCAAAAGGCATATAAAATATTAGATGTCTGCTCAATTCATCAGCAGAAACCCACTTTTTTCTTTTTTTGCAAGAGGTTGGGAATAAAAGAAAAAAAAATCACACTTCAAACAAAAAGTTGGTAAACAACTTCTGATAATTATGAAAAAAAAAACAAGAATTTCAGAAACTTTATGATTAAGAATTGTTTTACCTACAATAACAGAGCATCTCTACCTTTTAAAAAAATATTTACTAAATTAAAGAGCATATATTCTACAGGTTCTGCACGAGACAAAGGCAACATTTTACTAAAAATATTTAATAGCCCCCTCCCATTCTTTTTTTCAGGCCCTCCCTGTTAAGTTGCACCTCAGAGTGCAAACATTAAATTAACTGTAAGGCTTTTTTTTTGTCTGGAGACTTAAAGACATGTGCTTCTGTAAAAACTTAGGTTTTCAAAATGGAGGTTTCCCATAACAGCAAAAATAAAGACTTATAGAAAGATATTAAATAAAAATAATTGCTGTAAGACTTGGTAAAAGGAAAAAAAAACAAAAACAAAAAATCCCAATAGGTAAAAGCAAACCTGATGTATACTGGTATGAATGTGGGAGATGTAAACATAAAAAGAGCAGGCAAATAATCATATAGGGCCTACAATGTTTGAAATGACTGAAGGAATAAATCACATAAGGTCTAGAGTGTTCTTAGTTCCTGGAATTTTGGTTTTGTATGATACTAAAAATATACAAGTATTGTGCTGGGTATTTTGGCACCTAATCTTTCTAAATTTCTTATGCAAGATTCTGGCATGGAAATAGATTTAAAGACATTAACTCAATACTGCATGATTTCAGGAAAGGTCAACTGGTACAAATGATAAGCACATTTTAAATTGTGAACAGCAAGAATCTTTTGCTAAGTGTCCAAACAGGTTGATCATAACCCAAACATAGACGTTGAAATTCTGTCAAGCTTGTGGCCTGGTAAAACTGCTCTCCAATACTCCTATGGAAGCTTCATCAGACTTATTCACCACGCCAACATGTTGGCTGATATATACGACAAATTAGGTCCCGTCTTAAGTTCCACTTCCAAGGCAATAGCATCAGGCGCCCGAGTTTTATTGAATGCAACAGTTGTTTCTATGACCATTGGAGTCTTTGAAGCGCAGCCGCATTTTAGGACGATACTTCTCCAAATACAAAAGTTGCTTGCTGTTAAAGGCTCCACGCCGCTTTCTGGAAGGAAAGGACAAACTAATTTTACAGTGATAGAGATTGCTTCTGGAGGCAAGGAAGACAATTACAAAGGCCATGAAGGAATGTTTTAGAGCATTTATACATTGCTTCAGATCGTTATTTTATTTAGCTATTGTCAACTGAGCTGTTGAGACTCATGTATTCTTAACTATATCTAATTATACTTCAATAAAATATGTATCAACAATAGCATATTCAATCAGTAATTTAAAGCAAAATAATAATTCAAATGATGCTGCTGGATTAGAATCTTAGTAGTATGAGCATCTGCATGGACTATAAAGAAGGGGATATTATTATCTTAAAAAAAAGATAAAAATCACAAGGGCAATTTATAATACATTTAAAACTTACTGACACCTTCAACAAGGAAATAAAGAGAGATTTCACAACTTACTGTCTTATGAATTGTACTGCATCTTCATATTTCATTCCGCCTTCAATCAATGCCAGGGCAACAAGCACTGGAGCTCTAGAAAGGTTAAGAATTTTAATCAGTCAAAATTTCAAAATCAAGTCCTGAAGTATAATTATCCATCATCATATTTAAGTTATACCTATATGTTACATGTTGACTTCATGATTAAAAAAAAAAAAAAAAAACTGAGCTGGGCATGGTGCCACATGTCTGTAATCCCAGCGGTTCAGGAGGATGAGACAAGAGGATGGTGAGTTCAAAGCCAGTCTCCACAACTTGGCGAGGCACTAAGCAACTCAGTGAGACCCTGTCTCTAAATAAAATATAAAATAGGGCTGGTGATGTGTTTGAGAGCCCTAAATTAAATTCCCAGTACCCTCTCTCCCCAAAAATACAAAAAACAATTGCCCAAGCTGGCCTTCAACTTGTGATCCTTCTGTCTCAGTCTCAAGCAATGAGATTTTAGGTGTGCCCCACTATACCCGGCAAATACCAGTGTTTTTATATATCAATATAGATGTTTCTCTGGAACCAAATGAAGAATTGCTCTTACCTCCCAAGGCCTGCAACACAATGAACAGCAATACAACAACCAGGTTCTTCACGAAACTTAATTTTTACAAGACTTAACCAGTCATCGACAATTTGGTTGGACGGTGGTGCACCATCATCAAAAGGCCAATCCTAAGTCAAAAGAATGTTTAAATATATTAGATCTTAAAGATTAATCACATGTTTTATTAACTCCCATTGTCAATGAAATGTAACTAAATGCTGAATCATTATAAAATTTTTTATTTTTTTTTTAGTTATCAGTGGACACAGCATCTTTGTTTGTATGTGGTGCTGAGGATCGAACCCGGGCCGAATGTATGCCAGGCGAGCGCGCTACCTCTTGAACCACATCCCCAGCCCTATAAAATTTTTTTAGTTACTTCATACCTTTGCTTAGATTTCACCTTTATATTTGAAATTTTTATTGCATAAAATCTTACAAAACTTTTAAAATTAGGCTTCTTGAGGTCTGTGGTTTATCTGAATAAAACTTGTAGCACATTATCTTAAACACACAGGAACTATTAATACTTACAAGAACATGGATGCCTTCTTTCTCCACAAGAGTAGTGTCATAGGTTGCTTCACATACTCTTACTATTGTGGTAACACCATACTTCTTAAGTTCCTGGATAAAATATACATTAAAAAAAATCCTAATGAGATCTTCATAACTGTATTACTGTTACTCATCATTTGCCATTTTGATAATTTCTGATCACTGAGAATGCTGGTTAACAGAACATCATGAAGAGAACAGTAGAACCTCCTATCTATGTTTAACATGGAACTAAATCAGCCTTACAAGTATATGCAAAAACTCTTAAATCCTGAGAATAGTTTTTAAAAATACCCTTATCATTTAATACAACAGCTTTTAAAATACATTACTACTCATTATAATTCTCCTAACATTACAAAAACATGTAAGTGGTATTTTCCTATGATCTGAGTGGCCTATTTGCTGTTTTTGTACACCTATAGATATCTATGAAACAAAATGTGTATGTCCAGATAAATTACCCAGCATTATATTCCTTCCTTCCTAGTAAAAACAATCTGATGCTGAGACAGGTATTAAACAGGATTGACCACAAAACTGCCATCAGAAAGCAGCAGAATCAGTAGCTTCTAAGCATCAAGTGGGGCCCAAGACAACCTATATGGTTATAGCATGAGGCTAAGAGGACATATGAAAAAAAAAAAAAAAAAAAATCCAAACATGGCAGCCTTCCCCTATAAAATTACTTACAAGAAAAGTGAGGACTACACTGTTATAGTTTTTTTCTTTTTTGCAGTACAATGAATTGAATGTAGGGGTGTTTATCACTGAGCTACATCCTTAGTCCTTTTTATTTTTACTATTGAGACAGTCTCACTAAGTTGCCCAGGCTGGCCTCAAACTTGTGATCCTCTTGCCTCAATCTCCCAAATCATTGGAATTACAGGTGTATACCATTTGTGCCGGGTTTATCTACACATAGGCGAACCTGAAGAACTATTCATTTATGAGTTCTAAATTAAGTATATTCTTTCTCAAAAATTTTATAGCAATTTATCCCAAACTAATGATATTTCATTTCTGGGAACTGGAACCATAGGTATGCCATCTCATCTTAAAAAACAGTACACAAAAATCCCACTATTAAGCTACAATCAATTTAAGACATCATAATGTATTAAATCTTACCTCTATAAATTTGTTTAAGGTTGCATTGGTTGGATTGTGTGTAATAAGAAATCTCATGTTCTTGTATGTGACTTCCACAGGAGCAGGGCGGTTCATTCGAGCCATGTTAATTTAGTTAAAAAACACTCAATAGGGTTATGAAAGAATTTAAAAAATTGAATACAGAAATGATGCAAAGTAACTGAAGTCTACTTCAATATACTCCACTTGATATTCTCAGTGCTTTGAGTATGAAGTTGGGAGTAATGGGAAATGAAATGAACCTCCTAACAAGAAGCAGCAATTCTTCAATCCAGTAATACTGAGGCAATAGAAAGGAAGTGCACTGAGGTTTACCCCATCCAGGTCAGAACTCCTGTAAAATGCTCGGTGGATTTTCAATTCAATACGTCTGTGTTCAGGTTAACCACTCTTATGGGGGCTTCTTGGTGGAGTAGTAATGAATTTCTACAGTTCACTTGTCTGCATAGAGGTCGTGCTGTGCCTGGCAGTAATCTCCACTGCCCTTCAGAAACTCCATAAATGTGTGACCAAGAACACCACAGAACTGCTGTTTAAAAGAAAAGGAAAGAAAGAAAGAAAAAGTTATTTTCCAATTCAGAAGAAACATGTTACACTTTTATAGCATTTAAGTGTACAGCTATCTTTTCAAATTAGAGCCAAAGGTATCTTTTTAACTTTTAATTGAATCAAATGTAAACCAATAAGCCTAAAACAAGCACTCATAAACCCTTTAGAATGAAATTACTTATTACAAAGATTCCTTGAAATCATTAGTTATACTTGGCAAAATTTCTTTATATATATTCTTCTGTTAATTATTCCTCAATATTTGACTGTTTTAATTCTTATGACCTATATGTACAACTTCTTATATTGATTTGTCCAACTAAAGATTTTATAAGACATTTTTTAAAAAATATATATTTTTTTAGTTGTAGATGTACACAATACATTTATTTTATTTTTATGTGGTGCTGAGGATCGAAACCAGTGCCTCATACATGTGAGATGAGCACTCTACCACAGAGCCACAACCCCAGCCCTAGTAAGATATTTTTGAAAGGGGTGAGGTGGAGATGTCAATTGTATGGACCATTCTACATATATAAAAACTTCTTTATGTAATTATTTCTCAATAATTGCCCTTGAAGATTTAGTTCTTAAATGTGAAAAAAATCTGAAGTCACACCTATATTTTCCTTTTGTGCTATCATTTCTTCCTCTTTAAGTTTCAAAATACACTGAAGTAAAAATAAAATCAGAGATAGTTCACACACAGCTCACATTACTCTGTCTAGAATAAAATTAACTGGCTCTTATAAATAAAACTTATCTATTCCTCTAATCAATATACCCTTTTCTTAAGAGAAAGGGGACTTGTTTTCAAAGTTTTTCCACACACATTATCTCATTTTATCTTAACAACCTCATGGACTTCTCATTTCCATTATGTCAACAATATGTCAGATTGTAGGAAAATAATTCTTGGGAAGTTAATTGTGAAGTATCAAAATGTTTCCCTTTTGTATTTATAAACTATTCATAATGTTAATACTTTCTTGTATTTTAAAACCAAAAATTCCCTTAGCTGGCCTAAACCTCAAATCTAATTCAGAGACAAAAGAGGTAGGTACCAGTGGGAGTAGTAGAAAGGACCTTAGAGTTTTTCCGTAGGTCTCAAAGCAAGATAATGTTTATTTTTCACGCAAGTTCTCTTTTAAATCAGGTTTATACCAGTATCAAAATCAAATGAATACTCAACAGGATATTTTCAGAATATGTACATAATGTTAATGTTAGTTTAATATGTACATAATGTTAATGTTAGTTTATTAAGTAAAGAATGGAATAAGGAAAATGTTAATAACAAGCTAACAAGAGCTCTAAATGAGAGCCACTGACCCAAACAAAATGTATTAAAGAGTAATTTACCTCAACAAAACCTTGTAACAGTAACAAAAATGGCTCAAATTATCTTTCCATGCTTAAATTGAAATATTTAAAAGGCTTAAAATTAAATGGAAGTGTCTACTTCCATACTCAGTTATACCTTTAAATAGAGCCCGTGCTAATTTACTACAGCTAAATTTCAAAGAATTCATGTGATCACAAAAAAGAAAAAGTTAAAGAACTAGTTTATTTTTCTGTAAAACAAAGGATTTAGCATAAGGAGTCATGTTTATTAAAAATTCCCAAAGTTTTGTTTGGTAACCCAGGGATGCTCTACCTCTACGCTAGATTACCCCAGCCCTTTAGGATCTTGCTAATTTGCTCAAACTACCCTTGAATTTGCCATCCTCCTGCCTCAGGTTCCAGAGCCCCTGAGATCACAGGTGTGTATCACCATGCCTAGTCCAAGACTGTTCTAATAAGTCTTTGGAGGTTACTTCACCTATTTGCCCGCTGGTTTAAGAAAAAATTATCTAAATTACCAAGGAAGACATCACCATTACAATGAACACAGACTGTAGTAATCTAATTTCACCTTAAGTCCTAAATAATTAGATATAATAGGAGCATTCTGGCACTTTTCAGATAATACACAATGAATTAAAGACCTCTGTAAAGCTTTTAAGAAGTTTCAAAGAAAGTGGGAAAAACAATATAGAATTCATTTCCTGTACTGGTTATTCTTACTGTGGAGCCACCCAGTGGCTGGGGGGACACTTCAATTAAAGCAGGGTGACCACAGTCATCTTTCTATTCAGCCCAAGACATCCCCCTATTCTCAATTTCCTCCTCACAGGGAAAACAAACAAACAAACCAAAAAAACCTATCCATGATTGTCAGTTCAGAAACACAAAGGGATATCTTCCACATTTCAGTTGCATTCAATCTAATATACATGAGGGAGAAGAGAGCAGTTTTTGTAGAGAAGCTTAAGTCAGATTGCAGAATCAAGTCAATCTATAGAACCAACCGCTTTGCCAAAAGACTATGGTTTCAGGTATCACACCTAATAAAGCGTGTATAAAATGCCACTTACTTTTGAATCTACTTTTCGGGTTTTCAACTGATTAACTAGCATCAAACAAAACACACATAAAGAGAATAACAGGAAGCACTCTCACGAATCTGGATCTCAAGCCGATCGAGGATTCCAACTGCAGTATAAAAACTTAATACTCTTGGAATTGTATCGAGTTCCGTCGACAGAATATAAACTTTAGAATTCTGGCTCTGGTTGGCTACTGTTGCCACAAGCCAAAAGGAGTCACCCACACATTACAAGCAAGGACTTCAAGAACAATTCTAAGTAGTATCCGATTAAAAGGCGCCATCCAGGGCCCTTTCAAGATTGGCAGGAAAAATGCGTGCTGGTGCCCAGCCCGGGGCGCCTTCGCTTCAGTAGCCCTGGCACTTTCCAAAGTGCTCAGACCCAGGTCATTTATCTTGACGAGTGGCCCAGAGAAAGGGCAAGACTCGACTTGTTCCAATTATCCAGGGCCTGAGGGTGGGACGTTAAATCCGGAACAGCTCGAATTACCAGGTGGAGACCGGAGAAGGCAGGGCGGGGCGGGGCGCCGGTGTCCTCACCTAACTGAGCCGGGCCCGGGAACCAGGGAAGCTCCCGGAATGCCCCTGATGGCCGCCACTCGACGCACGCGGCGGTGCGCGCCCGGGCCCGCCCGCTCGCCTCGCCCCTTCTCCGCGCCGCAATCACGGGTTCGCGCCGCGCCTGACTGAAGGCGCGGGCGCCGAGGCCATTTTGTCTGAGGTTCTGGTCCCGGCCTCGCACCATGGGGGTGGCTGCCCCACGCTCCTGTCCCGCGCCAGACCCCGAGCTCCGACAACTCTGGGCCGAGACCGTTACCAGCCGCGCTGGGCCGCCCCGCCTATCCCACTCCGGCCCGGATCTGGTGGCGACCCCGCCGCCACCGCGCCCTCCCCGTATCCGGCTCCGCAGTGACACGCGCAGCCCTCGCCCCACCCCGGGCCACGTCTCCCGCTAGAGTGCGGCCACTCTCCTTAAGCTTAACAAAGGGACCCCGGGAGCCACGGAACCCACTGAGCCTGAACCCGGCGCGCCAGGCCCCAGGGCCGAGGGCAGGGGCGGCGGTCACAAAACGGCTTTTGTGCCACCCCGCCCGTCCCGCTGCGGCAGTCGAAACTGCCTCCGCCCGCCGCGCTGGTGAGGCCGCAAGGTCCCAACAGCCCGGCGCTCGGCGGGGACGTGGAAGTCGATGCTTCAGGCGGCCAACCGCCATACCGCAGCCCCACGGGCCCGGCGTTGGTTTCCCAGTAGCCGGTCGTTACCGGCCGACCACGGGATCGTAACCCGCTAGCTCACTCGGGACCAACCCAGCCACAACCTGGGACCGCGGGAAGCTAAGTCAGGGCCCTGAACAAAGGCAAAGGCGGGATGGGGGGGACGCTCGCTGATTCCCAGTCCCGGAGGCGGCGGCGCGACGACTACTCACAGGAATATGTTTACTCATTGAAGATTGTGGCCTAATCATACAGCCGGTCCCGAGGCGGCGGCGATACAAGCGGCGGCGGTGGCGGCGGCTGCAGGGCAGGGGGTGGCGGTGGTCGTCGCGGGGCGGCGGCGGCGGTGGCGATGCAGGCGGCGGCGGGCGCACCAGGCTACCATGCAGTGAGCGGCTCCGAGGAGAGCGCGTCGCCTAGCCGGCCCGCAGCCGCAGGAGCCAATACGCGAGCCGAGGCGCCCTTGCGTCACAAGCCCTCCCTTTTATAACCGGAGCTACGTGCGCACCTCCTGCCACCAATCGCGGCCCGGGATCCTGGGCCTTGAGCTGAGGAGCGGGGGCGAGTGCACGCCCCCGCCGTGGACGTCACCTCACGGCGGCCGCCACCGGTGTGAACCGGTTGATGAATGGCGAAATGCTGGAATCCGAGCATCCTCTTCGCGGGGGAGGGGAAGGGAAGGGGAGAAACTTGGAGGATGCTGGAAGCTTGGTGAAGTGTAGGGACTCGGCTAGGGAAGATTCCAATCACGCAATTACAAGGAATCACGAGACAACCCTGTTTCTCATCATTAAAACCAGCTAGGAGTGTCACATGGGAGGCTTGAAGTTTGCCTCAAACTTAAAATACTGTCTCTGTAGGTTGCAGTCGCGTTTCAAGTCTCAACCCTGCTTTCCTCTGGATCTAAGTCACAACCACAGTCATATTTGCCAAAGGTTTACCTTGGCACCTGCGCTCCTAGGATGTCCGTCATCAAATAATATTTATGTCGCATGACCGCTGTACCCAGTGACTCAACAGCCGGAATGCCATGGCCCTAGGCATGTTCCGGAAGAATTGTTGTCGCCAGAGGCACTTTCAAGGGGGCGGGGTGGGGGAGGAGAAACTTATCTTCACGGAACTACCTAGTCCAACGCGGGGACTGTTTCTTTTGATGCCAATAAAGCCCTATGCTCCATATATATATATATATATATATATATATATATATATATTTTTTTTTTTTGGTTACTCCTTCCTACAAGGTCCGAGGGCAACTGCAGTTGGCTCAGTTGTGGCATTTCGAAATCACATGCATCCTTTGTACTGTTGCTTACTTGATGTGTTGTTACAGATAATGAAAGGTTAGCCACTACTAAAAGGAAGCGTTTTTAACAACTAAGAATCCTCAGTCAAGGACTGATGTGATTCTTTGCGTCAAAATCCAAGCTTTCCTTTTTGTTACAGTCCTTTGGATTTCACTATCTTCTGGATTTAGGCCCCTAAAAGAAGTAAAGCCTTATCGCAGTTATGTGGTATACAAGAGTAACTGTCATTTATAATCTGCAAACCCATTCTCCTCTGCTTTCTGGAAGGAATAAACAAGACCTTCACCTGCTTTGAAGAACTAAGTTTTCTACTAATACTGAGGCCTTTTGTTTGCTGTTTTCCCCAAGTATTAGATTGGAGAAGGCTTTAGGGATCAAATTGTGTCCTGGGTCAGTGTACTGTATGTAGCATCTTAAGATTTATTAGAATTTCTATTTAGAGACACTACTTGCATAGTTATTCAACCTTCTTAAAAACATGTACTCCATAAGCAAAGTAAGATCTTTTGAAAACAAGAAGCAGGTCAGACTTTTAAAGAAATAAATGTCTACTCATCCTCATTTTAAGAAGAAGTTGTTTGCCTAGGAATCCCTTTAAGTCAAGGACTAGAGAGCTTGAGACATAATGTCCTTTCACAAATGAACATAAAAAGAGTAGATTTCAAGATTTTTAAGTACTAATAATATATTAATTTAAAAAAAGAGCCTTGGGATGGTAACGAAGCAGAACGGGGAACTCAAGTTCGAAAAAGAATTATTCCATTTATAAAAAAATAAAACTTTCATATGGCAAATAACTTGTGTAAATATGCATTTTATAGTGGGAGAAGATATTGGTGATATATTGTGGGCAAAGTTAATATCATAATAAATGAAAAGCTTGAACAACATATGATATGGTAGTTTAAAAAAAAACCTCACATATTCTGTTAGCCACTCTTACTCCAAAAGTTGGTCAGAGAAGTTATACTAATTGGAATAGTGAAACTTTTTCAATGTAGTGACTTTTTCAGAAAAGAAATTTGGTGGTATAAGATATAAACTTAGCTAATGATAAGCAAACTAAATCAGTGTTAACCAGTTTTCTTGAGAATTAGTGATACAAGTTGTGATCCTTGTGCTCCACAGATCCTGCAATTACCACAGCAGTGCTGACATGAAGCATTCAGTTGTCTGTAATCTTTGAGCTTTAAAATCTGGACTCAAACTCTCAAGTGGATTAATTAATAGGGAGTCTAGCCTATCAGATGAGGTACCACTGTCCTAATTTGAAAAGGATATCATTTAAAGATGAAAAAATAGAGGCTTTTACTATTGAGAATAAGAACACATTTTAAACAAGATTTAAGTGTAGATTTACTAACCATTCTACTAAATTCTTTTAGAATAGTCAAGGGTCTGCCTCTCTGCCAACTGTCATAAGTGTTCTGTGCCACTGGTTAAAAACCACACTGCTATGCTGAGGGTGTATGCTACACTCAGTTCAACTGTTTCAAGCTGTTGATTTTCAGAGGACTGTAACCTATCCCAACAATGATCAGGAGGTCCCTTGGTCTACGACTAACTAACCTTTACAGAGCATTAGCATCTGTGCTTATTTGCAGAGGAACTCTAATATATTTGCAATAGTGGTCTAGACATCAAGGAGTAAGAAAGTACCTCTGAAAGCCAGTGACTACTCTAAACTTCAGAAGAGGCTCTAAAATGGAAGATTTCTCTCCTGCTCAACGTGATGTTCTACTGGAAGTTAATTCTCTTAAAGCAGGTGTCTTTGATCTTATTATGGTAGGCACGACATTTCATCAGCATATTCAAAACATCAAAGCCAATAACTGGAAGATAAGCAAAATTAGAAGCATATTATAAGTAAGACCCTGCTGGGATCTTATGCCTGGAATCCTAGCAACTTGAGAGGTGGAGACAGGAGGATTGAAGTTTCCAGGCCAGCCTGGACAACATTAGTGAGATCCTGTCTCATAGTAAAATAAAAAGGCCTGTGGATATCTTAGTGATAGAATATTTGCCTGGCATGTACAATGCCCTAGGGTCAATTCCTAGTATTGGTGGGAAAAAAAAGATACTTGTTGGAGATGAAAGACTGCAGAAGAGAAGTAACAAATCAGCAAACTATTATGATAGAGAATAGAGAAATCCTTAAAAGGACAGCATATAGCCTGGTAAATATGGGTTTCATTTATACTAAGTATGTGAAAGGAATGGAAGATTTAATTTGTTCCAATGTCAGATTGATTGAGACTGAGTCTGATAAAGAACACTTAATATAGCAAGAGTATTACCACTGCAATGATAGATCAAATGTGGCAATATCAACCAGAAAAAGATACTAATTTGCAAAGCATAATGATATACCAAATATAATTAGTAGAGGTAAATACGCCAATGAGCCATAACCCAGTAGGAGTCTGGATACTAGTGCCTGGAGTGTTTAAGTGTTTTAAAAATCCAGATCTATAGCCATGTCTACTATCAACATTGTTAAAGTTTATTTTCTTTTTGTTGTTTTAGAACAGCCTATTTTATATCCATAATCAATCTTTTGTGATTATTTTAAAAAGGTGAAAAGAATGTGAAGTATGGTTAAATTTCTGTGAACATATAATTTATGTGTTCATGGTTCAAAACTAAAAGATGCTACATTTTAAAAAGTAACCTAATTCCTTCCTTTAAGACAGTTACTTATCAAGAGTCTCTTAACTAGGTTTTTGATGACTAATAGAATACAACAACAGGGCTTTGTTATAATTTCTGCAGGAATTTTAGATACAATGAGCAATGAAGTTTATCACAATAAGCCTCTCAAGGAATCTAGCCTATGATCAAAATATAAGGTCAATAGCCATGTGTGAGCTATTGTGTTTTATATATATTCATATATAGGAGGGTCCTATCAATATCCATAAATGAATCCAGCTGAATTAGGAGTAAACATCTCATTAAGTCATCAAATCAAACCATTAGAGGTAATGTTTGCTCTATAAAATTAAGCCAGTTTTGAAGAATTTTTAAAAATTGTCTATTTTAAGAAATAATTTTTAAAGTTAATCTGTATTTCCATTTTCTTTTCCTTTACTTTTGATTGCCTAATTTTAATCAATTTAAATATAAGTCTTTGAATTAGGTGAGAATGTGTTTTCACCCTAGTAATTCTGCCAATTACAGTATTTACTTCTGTGAGAGTTCAACATGCATATTGACAGATTAGTCAAGAAAATATGTATTATCGGTTTGCATGCTGGAAAGACCATTTCTTTGGGATTAAGCAAGGGACTTCTTAAGAACCCATAATTCATAGAATTTTCATAGCATGTCATTATGAGTGATTCACATACTGGTTCCTGAGGGAAGATAGTTTGAGAAAACTCTTCCTAAATTTTCAGAAAAAAAGTTTCTGTTGGTGTTAAGTAGTCTGAATAAAAATCATCTGGGAACTGGAAGTTAGTAGGGCCATTGTTTCCATGTGATTGTCTAGAACATGTTGAATTATGCTGCAGTCTGAACTAAGGCAAAAATAACTTAGGAAAGGAGAATTTAATCTGTCTAGATAAAGGGAATGGAACATAAATAAAATTTAAAGGTTGGTTATGCATGCTATGGCAAAACTGTCACTTGACAGGTTTAATTTACAGAGGTGGCATTTATGCTGCAGATAAACCAGACAGACACTGACCTAAGCAACATTACCGGGGCCAGGCTTACATAAGGAGAAATGTTCTTGAACAATTTCCTGCAAACATAATTACATTAATTAACAAAAGCTATCACAGACATGCTTTTCCACATCCTAACACAATTACTTCTTAACCAGCATATTCAACAAACATTGCTATCATAGTATACTTCTATAGTTCATTTTTGTAAGATAAGTGTTTTGTGGCTGTCATTAAGTGATGCTAAGATAAAAATATTTTTTCCATAACTTCCTGTATTTTGTAATTTCATTCCAAAAGTACTACTTATATAATCTGAAAAAATAAATTTCAAATGAATGTTCAGAATTATGAATATTTGATATATTTTAATTTTCAGGATTAAGGAATATTTTCAGAAAATGACTATCTGCAAAGTTATTTACATGTAATAAAT